GGTTGGAGGTTACCGTTGCTGGCCCGCTGTCGGATGGTCAGCATCTGCTCTCCAGACAGCTTTGCCTTCTTCATCGCTGACGTGGCTCGTGGGCAGCCAGACAAGCTGGGGATGAGACATGAGATGGCGTCAGTCATGGGTCTCAGGAGCGGACACAGTTATGAGCGAGGCCAGTCACTGTGTCATCTCCTTAGGCCGCCCGCAGCTTGGGGACGTGCGTGGACACCACCCAGGGTGCAGCGTGGCCTAGGTCCCGGCAGCAGGGCGGGGGGGGCACCGAAATGTCTGTGGAGTGACTGTTTCCTGATCATGGAAAGTGTCACACTTACGCAAGTGTTGAATTTAAAACTGAATTTCAGGCACACAGAGTGGAGCAGGTCATGAGCCACAGCCCAGAGTCAGTCTTCCTCTCAGGGCGGATCCGCACCCACCTGGACCCACCTGCTCCCTGAGGAGGTCACTGTGAAGTATATTGTTTTCCTACCTACAAGTTTCAAAACTGGTGCCAATATCACCAAATGAAGGATCTGACTCCGACTGTCTCCTGCGAGCTGGTCGGCGTGCTGACAGCGGTCTTCTCAGGCGGCCGCCCCCTCCCGGCCTCCTCTCACTGCACCTGCTCACAGCGCTCTGCACCCAGCTCCTCCAGGGCCAGCCTGGCCCCGTCGCCCTCACCCCGGCACTGGCTGCGGCATGAGGTCCCACACAAGACCCTCGCACGTGGCCGGGGGCGCCCGGCACACCAAGTCAGCGAGCCGAAGCGGCAGCGTGCGCGCGTTTACGCCCTTCCTGCCGACAGCTGTGCTCTCGCCCTGTATTCAGCGCCGCAGGGACTGTCCGCAGCGCGGCGGCTCACAGCGCAGGCCACACGGTTATCAGCAAGTCTATTTAGTGCCCACATCAGCATCCGGAGGCCGCCTGAGTCTCTGCAGACACCCTTCTGACGGACCTTCTGATGGAGGTGCTGACAGGTAGAGCTGTTCTGAGGGCCAAGCCTCCCTGTTGCTGGCACCTCACCCCGGAGCTCTGGGTGTCGGCTTCGCTGCCTCGCTTGCATGGTGCTGGGTCTAGGGCCTGCAGAGACTGTCCGTGAGGTCAGTGGTCACCGGATCTGTTGCTCTTCCCAGAACTTAGCCAACAGTGTTTCTAGATTCACAGGGGACAGGCAGTGGGCCTTCAACCCAGAGGGACTTCACTAGCCCCGTCCAGCCCTCTCCCTCCCTGAGGTCAACCCCCGCATAAAATGCCCAGAAGCAGGGGGTTTTGGGACCCCTGATGGCACCGTGGGTGGGGGCAGGAAGGCACTGAGGGCCCCAGGAGTCGAGTCATCTCCTGAGGGGACTGGACACCAGCACCCCAAGACCTGCCTTCCCCTTGGGGCTGTCTGTCCAATGACCACCTCATGGTGTTTCCTGAGCTGACTTGTTCCACTTGGGCCGAAGGCTCTGGGATCGTTTGCACCCTTAGATATCTCTCAGTTTCTACTCAGCTGGGCTGCCATTGCTAAGGCCTGTTCTCTGTCCTCGGAGGCCGCACCTGCAGACAGGTCTGAGGGTTCCAGCAGTGGGTGCCCATCGAATGTCCCACACACTAGGTGCCCCCACACCCCCCCGAGGCCTCCTGCCTGAGACCAGAATTAAGGACAGAACAGGCACGGGAAGATCATGAAGAGGAGTGTGCACAAAGCAAAAGCAAGCACAAGGCAAGGGCTCAGGGGGCTCCCAGGCCTGGAAACCGTCAAACACAGACCCCTGGGCCCATGCCGAGGCTGAGCCAACTTGAGTCGTCTGTGGCTTCCCTTAGCTGTCAGTTAGTAAAACTCCGAGCTAGGATGACAAATAACGAGGGCGTCATCTCAGGCATGTAGGGCGTCAGCTAGAGGTGGGAGCTGGGTTGAGAGACAAAGACGGGCCGGGAAGGATGCTTTGTGCAAACACGCTGCAGGCAGCCGGTTCCCACCCTGTGGGCCGCGGGCCTGCGACCTCCCTGGTGGCCGGTCCCGGTGCAGGCGCAGTGCCATCTGGTGGCGGCTCGGGGAAGTCCACCCAGTCTCCGCCAGGGAGGGACCGGCGTTCTGACGGAGACCAGGGCCTAAGGCAACCATCTCTGAGGGCTGCCCTGGGCCTGGGCTCGACAAGCCACAGAACCTCAGTCCTGGGTGGTTCTGTTCTGGGCAGCAAAGAGTTAACCGTCCCCGCACCTCCCGCCCTCCTGGCCCCAGGCATCTGCCAGGAGGCACCAGCACCAGGAATTCCAGGGAGGGTTCCAGGGAAGCCACTGAAGGTTCAGATGGAGACCATGGGCCCAAAGTGACTTCCTTCAGGAGAACATCACAGCTGAGAACAGCCACGCAGCAGACATTTCCAGGGGTGCGTGTCTCTCCACTGGGAGGAAAGCAGGTACTGAGAGCCACTCGGGCGTGTGGTTTGGACACTTGTTCAACAACCAGACCCGAGAGAGGCCCTGCGTGAGCCTCAGCTCCCAGGCAGTGCCTTGTTCACACCACCTGTGTTCTCCTCTCCTCCCTCAGTGGCGAAACCCTCAGGGGAAGGGAGGCCCAGGGGACCCGGCGGGGTGTGGCCAGGCTGCCCGGGTCCAGGAAAGGAAGCAGCGTCTGCAGAGAGAGCCGCTCTTCGTTGGGGACAAGGGGAGACCCGGAAATGGACACTCCAAGTGTCAGATGTTGGAGCCACAGGATAGGGGAATCCAGTCCTGCGGTCAGGGCCAGGAGCCTGTGCCGCCCACCTGCTCACACAATGAACTTTCCAGCTACTGACCACTGAACCGCATCCTGAGAGACAGAACAGAGACGGTCGCGCTCTCTCTACTTGTCTCGTGAGGTCAGAGCTCAGTCTGGCGCTAGTCCTCGCGGTGGCTGTGTCCCACAAAGACCTGCCGACGTCCTAACGCCCAGGACCTGTGACTAGGCCGGTATTTGGAAAGGGGGCCCTTGCAGATGTCATCACGTCCAGATGAAGTTGATGGATTAGGCTGGGCCCTGTCCCATGACTCGTGTCCTTGTAAGAGGAGGGGATCTGGGCACAGCCACAGAACAAGGCTGTGTGATGATGGCGGACACTGAGTGAAGCGTCCCCCAGCCAAGGGACTCCCTGGATTTCCGGCCCTGGCAGAAGCTGGAGGGCGAGGAGGATGCTCTCCTGGGCCCCCACCTTATGCTTGGACTTCAGGCCCAGACCCGGGGGAGCACCGTGCTGCCGGAGGCCACGCCGATGGTGACATCAGGGCTGCTTAGGGTCATATTTCTTAACTGAGCTGGGTTCTTAGTCCAGACAGTCCCCGTTGCCCACAGGATCTCTGTTTGTTTTTAACGTGTAGACGTAACTGTTGCAGACACAGCTTCCACCAAGCATTGGGGCGAGTGGCAGTGACGTATGGAGGAAACAGGTTCTAATGGAGGAGACCCCCTGGGTCTAATGGAGGAGTCAAGTGCCCGGAGGCGGAGCTTGTCTTCCCCAGCTGGTCCCTGAGTGGCTCTGGAGTGGCCTCCTCAGGTCTGGTGGCTGCTCACATCTGAACTCGTATTATTAACTGAATCAAGACCCCTAGCAGGTCAGCCCCACAGCCTCGGGGACAGAGAGGTGGTGGCTGTGAAAGTGCTTCAGGAGGGAGGCCTGTGGAACACAGTGGTTCAGCCGCCTGCCAGGAACCCGCCCAGAAGCCCTGGCCGCGCCCAGGAGGCTGAAGCTGCAGGAGGGGCACAGCCATGACCTGTGGCCTCTCCTTCTCGGCACTTTGGGATCCGCAGTTTGACAGAGGCTGGATCTGAGCTCTTACCTCCTAAATGCTCTCTGTCAGATACTAACAGGTGGGTGAAAGTGAGAATCAGTCCATTCAAGCTGGTTCAGGGCAGCGGTCAGTGGTCAACATGGGGCGGTGCTTGGGGACCTGTCCCCGAGGTAGTCTGGACCCGGCAGGAATCCAGCCTCCAAAGGGCAGTGAATTCAAATCACCCACAACTCTCAAGTGACGATGGACTGCAAGGCCCACTGTGTGCAGGATACGGCCCTGAGGACAGAACCAGGAGAGGTGACAGTGGTGGGCCGTTGGCCTCAGGGGTTCGCCACGGTGCTAGCCTGGTCAGGGGAGTGTCAGGGCGCTAGCTGGACCCAGCTTCCTCATCTGGGTTTGAGTGCAGGAGGGGCGTGCAGCCCAGCTAGCATGCCTCCCTTCACGAAGGGCACAACTGCTTCCTCAGCAAGACCTCGCTGTGTCCCCCTCCTGGGGACATCATGCCAGCGGAGCACCGGCCATGAAACAAGGGGCAAGCGCCGGCCAGAGAATAGGGCGAGGGAAGCACAGGATCACCTGCCTCCCTCTCCCCCGGTGGGACTATAGGGCTGCCAGAGTGGAATGGGGCAGAAACCCCGTGGCAGGGCGGGCCTTCCCTGAGCGACAGTGCCCCCCATCCCTATAGGCTTCCACTCCCGGGGGGGGGGCCACCCTGACCCTCTCTCCCAGGCAAGTCTCAGAGAAATCAGATTCAGGGAGCCTCTCTTCTTGTCTTGTAAAGTGAGGTGTGAAGTTTCCAAGTGCTGCCTAAACAGAACCTGCTGCCTGGTCTGGAGGAGCCCTGGCTGCTCCCCCAGGTCCCTCCACCTGCCACCTGGCCAGCAGCAGGATGAGGGACACAGAAAGTGGAAGGGGAGGCACTGTCCTGGGGGAAGGGCCAGAGGATAGTCGGAGGAACGTCCTGAGGCAGCCGGGTCCCAGGTTCCGTCTACAGCTTGGACCACGGTTACTAGACCCTCAAAGCTTCCCTCCCGATGCTGGGATTTGGATTCATCATCCGGGGTCTCCAGTAAAAGAAGCTTGAACCCTTGAACCCCTGTTGGTGTCCTCTATCTGTTCCTGTGGTCTCAGTGGAAGAGGCCACGATTGTAGCCACGAGAGGGAGCGAGGGCCCAAAGTTCACTGGCAGACACAGATGTCCACTGGGCCAAGGGTAGAGGGTGGGCCTCCCACCGGGCGGGGCGGCTGGGTACAGACGTCTGCCCACGTGGCTCCCCCCCGGGGAACAGGTGGTGACTATGTAGGCCTCACTGATGATTATGGCTGCTTGAACACCTGCACTGCCAAAGCCCCGTGCTGGGTTCTGCAGGTGCAGAGTGAGTGAGAGGCAATGTGGGCCATGGAAAAGGCCCACTGCACAGTCCTGGGTTAACTCCCAGCCCAAGAGTTGAAGCAGGAACTTTGGGAGAGCATTTGCCACTGCTTATCAACCATAAAGCTAGCATTTTGCTTCTAGGGCGGGTCCTAAGGCTGTGTTTGCAGGAACACCTGTGGTGTCTGTGGCAGGAGGCCTGTTGTCGCTCCTGGGACCACTCACACCTGGAAAGGAGACTTAGCAGTTTGCTGGCACCTGAGCCCTCTCAGTGGGGAGAGGAGGCAGCAGAGTTCACAGCAGGCAGAGGGTGGTTCATCCATCCCAGGATGACGCCCGCCACCTGGCAGCCCCTGCCCTGTGTGGACACATAAGAAACACTGATCCATTTGTAGGAGGGGAAAAGCGATGGCATGGGGCTGGGCCGGGAGGTGTGTGCGCCTGCACAGGGGCCACAGTCCATGTGAGTCTCTGCTCAGGGGCCCTTTCTGAGAGGAGACCTGGCTGCCTGGCCTGGGATGTGAGCTGAGAGTTGAGGTCACGCATGGATGTCCCCTCTTATTCCATCTGTACCATTTCAATTTTCTACCTGAGCAGAATCACTTCCTTAATTAAAGAAAGTCCTTAGAGAACATGAAGCTCAGCGCTGCTATCCCTGAGCACGCCGCCCTTCCTGTGGTCTGCACTCAGCCGTGTTCCCCTGTATAGGACATGGCTCTGCAGGTGGAGTCTGGATGCGCGTGGTGTTCGCTGTGTGCAGAGCACATGACACAGCAGAGAAGGGAACAGCCCGGAACCCTCCCCTCAGCGCAGGTGCCTGCAGTGTCAGTGTGAGGCCTTGGTTCCTCCTCCCAGCCTCCCAGCTGGTCTGCATGAAGCTGGGACATGAAGGCCCATCGATCCGCTGACCTGTGATTTGCCCACACCAGTGATCCTGACCCCCTATAGTGAGCCCGCTCGGGAACTTGATTCAACAGAACAGGCCTCTTCTTCTAAGACCATCTAACTGCATATGGTTCTTCTTATATTAAGCAAATTAAAATGAGGGGTTGGTCAGCTCCTCTGGGAATTTCCTGCTCTACCTTTGGCCCAGGCGGTCAACACGAGGTCCTGCGCCCAACACCAGCCCTTTCCCCCAAGGGGCCCAAACAAGTAACCAAGTCTACAGAGACTCTTGTGTGTACCTGCAACCTGTTTCTTGCTGCGGACCCTGGTCGGACCTTTTTAACTGCTGTCCTATGTGTGGCTGTGCTAGAAGGAGGTGCTTTTCAAAGGAAAGCTGTCTTCTCTTCCTTCCCAGCCTCAGTGTCCTTGGTTGGGTGCCATGGCATCTGGGCTTCACTTTCGCTGCCCGGGCGACAACTGAGGCGCTGCTCGCGCTCCCATCCTACCTGCACTGATGAGCCGAACCCCCTCTCCTGGGCACCTCCATCTGGTAAGGGCCCGGCCAGGTGCGCTCACCTCCGGTGTGTGAGGAAGCTGCCGCTGACGTGCCCGGAGCCGTCGCAGCCGGGCGTGGGACAGGACATGCCCTCCGTCTTGACTGACTTCCAGGAGAACTGGGAGCCGTTGAGGTATCCGTCCTTTTGCCTCTTGGCTGCCAAGGGGCAGCCGGAGGCGCTGCGGTGGGAGGCGTACTTTCCAGTTATGTGGCCCTGGCCGTCACAGCCTGGAACAGGGCACCTGAGAGCAGACGGACAGACACGCTTTACTGCCTGGCTGTCCCGTACCTGGCGACACCACCTAGTGGGGTGACGGTGCAGTTCACCCTCACAGAAAGCCCCTCACGCTGGAGCCCTTAGAAAACTCCAGTTTTGGACAGAACCCCAGCTTGCATGGTGGGAAACGCAGTTCCAGTGGGAGCTGCGGGGATATTAAATAGGTTATTTCATAAGCCTGCATTTCTCAGGAGCTAGGAAACATCTGCTTGTTGGGCCATGTTCCAGACGGACGGGATTTTAAAGCAGGAGAGGATTTAACTGAGGCTCCCGGGACGGTGACAGCACAAAGCAGGCCACAGGGGCCTTTGGGGAGCAAATGGGAAATCACCAGTCGGTGCCAAGGCTCCGCAGCAGGCTCACCGTGCTCCTGAACCTCTCACACAGGCCACCACGAGGCCCAGGGCACAGCACACGAGTCAAGGCCCCAGGCTGCTGGGTTTTGCCTGCATTTTTTCTAAACAGTAAAGTTACATGATATAGGGAATTTGTATTACCCATTTATTTTGATATATTTCAATTTACTTTAATAATTTTTATTTTAATTAGTTTTTGTTTTAATAAAAGATTTTCTGCATAGACATTCAGTGAGGTTGGAATTTCAAGGAGACAGCACCAGGTCTATCTCATGGATTTCTGAGACCCAGGCTCCCGGGCATCGGTTCAGGGCGAAGCCGGGGTGAGTGGAAAGCCGGGGTGAGCCAGAGGGCTGAGGCTCTGGCCCCAAAGGTCAGAGGCCGAGTCCTGCTGAGACTGAGTGTAACTACATGATGTCATAAGCAGAGCACAATGCTCACTTCTGATACTGCATTTTAATACCTTCCACGAATCTGCCTTTCCCGTAAATAGACTGCGTTTGGCACCCAGGGGATGAGGGACGTGTCCAGTGTTGTTACCAGAACATCAGACGGTGGGTATTATGCCACCTACAACTTAGGCAATTCGATTAGATTTTGGCTGAGATGGTCTGACCGTGCAGTTGGTTGACATCACAAAGCATGTCCTCCACGTGGATGCTCACGTGCGCCCCCATGCATCCCCGCCAGACCCCGCCCCGCCAGCAGGCGCACCTGATGGGCTCCTGGTCCTCCTTGTCCTCCTTGCTCTGCGCTATCCTGATGCCACTCTTCTTTGCTCTTGGGCAACCTGAAAGGCTGAAGGAGAAACTTGAGGTTAGCAAGCCTCCTACACTGGTTCCAGGGCTCCCCACACCCGCGAGGGCTCTCTGACTACTCTCCAGGGCCCCTGCTTCTGGCATAAAAATAAAATCTAGGGAGGGTCCTCCTGGGTGCAGCCCCACGTGGCTCTCAGAGCATCTCTCGTGCAGGGTGGCCCGAGGTCCCCAGGCCCACAGCCATGGGTCTTGTTCCTGGGGTGGGCAGCATTTTGATGCTCAGGCTGGTGGCTCCACACGACCGACTCCTTGCTGATTGCCATGCTTGATGGGACTAAAGAGCTCTCCCTGCCACCAACTGAGCACTGGAATCCCAGGAAAACAAAACTAAGCACTGACCAACACTGAAAAACTCTTGCTTTTTGCTTAAAACGTGGAAATGAAAACCACTGCTCACTGCTGACCCCCATGGAGCTTCCCTGCAGAACCAGCAGCTGGAGAACATTGGGGCCGTTTCAAGGCTGGCAGGTGGCACCGATGGAGGATGCCTGTGACTGCCACATACAGGCCACTGCTCGCTGGGTGGAGCCTCAGCTTCCTCGCCTGTACTCCAAGGTGAGATGCCCACAGTGCCAGCCTGCTGTGGGGCGGAACCGAGGATCCGCCAGGTGCAGGCACGGACGGTGCTCAGTGACCCCAGATCCTCTACTCCCAACTTGTCTGTATTTGGGATTCCTTCTTTAGGGTCCAAATATAAACCCAACAATGTCACTTCCGGCTTGAGCGAGGTGGAGATTCATGCTGCAGAACCTCAGCCAGTGGGGGCTGGGCAGCACCTGCCTCTGGGCTGCTGAGTGGTGGCTCCAAGTGTTGCTCAGGGCTCCTGGTAAGAACGGGCTCTTGGTGCTGGGGCTGCCTTTCCTTTCTAAGCTGTGGGCTTCTCTTCCCTCCACGAGTGTCCAGTGGGTCCGAGCCGCAGATGTGAGGGAGACTCTGCCCCTCACCTCTGTCCCCTTCCCGCTCCCCCTCTGACCTGCAGGGACCACAGGGATCTCAAGTAGTGACTTGGAAAAGAATTAACCCGCCCTGTCTGGGGGCTTCAGTCACACCGGGAATCTGAGCCCTGTGGCCCTTCCTGCCGCTCTTCAGCCCGTCCCAGAGCCTCTCTTTGCCGGGCTGTTTGTCCAACCCGTCACTGCCAGGCACCTGCTCTGGACATTCTGGGTGTCACCTTTAACTCTGAAGTGTTTCCGGTGCCCCCCCCCCATGCTCTGTGCTGCAGCCATCCTGCCTCCCTGTTACCTGGGCTGTGCCCCGAGAGCACAGACTCTAAACCCTCATCATGAGTTTCCCAGGACTCCTGACACCAAGTGTCACCTGCAGCCCCTCCCGTATGCTTGTACCCAAAGGCCCGCCTCCCGGTCATTCCCTGGCCATCAGGGTACACCGAGTGTGGCTGCTCCTGTCACAACACTCCGGCTGACGCTGTCCCTGAGCCTGGAAACCCGTCCTCGCCACGACTCCCCGAGGCTCCTGCCTGTCCTCGCACACTCCGCCCAGCGTCGCCGCCTCGCCCTGCTCTCTGACCCAGCACCCTGCCCAGTCACAGCCTGCCTCTTTGTCCTGCTGTGCCTCAGCGGCTACACCTGTGTTTCCATCTGTATTCATATCTGCATCTGTCCTGTTTGTTTCTGGGTCTCCTCTCTCCCTTAGACGACCTCTTCCTGGGGGTTAGGAGCATCCAGGTTCTCACTGTTCCTCAGCTTCTGGCACATGATGTGGTCGATAAATACCTACTCATTCCCTGGGTTCTAGGCTTATGGGCTGACATTGCAATGACCTTCTACATGGTTAACAGTTTCCTAGACAGAGCTGTACTCTCCACAGTCTGCTGTCACTGACACGGGGGCTCATCAAGTATCTGTATCTTCATTTGAAATCAGAGGATTTGGGAATGCCGTCAACCTTTGGGCACCTTGCCTTCTCAGGGGGATTACCGGCACAGCTCCCGACAGAGGGGGTCAACTGCAGGGAGCATCTGCAGAAAGCCAGGGCTGGCTCTCAGCACAGGCTGTGGTTGTGGGAAGTGAGCCTTGGGGCCTCGAGACCAGAAGTGGAGCCAGGCCGGTCATCACAGCCAAAACCCAAGGGCAAAAGAGAAGCCACTGTGCCCCTGACCTGTGGAGGTTGCATTTACGTGGCAGAATGACTTGTAACACGTGGCTCTGGCACAAAACTGGGCTCTGGCCTGTGCTGCTTAGAACTGGACGACTGAGTCAGAGAAGCGAGAGGCCTGGGGGGACTGTGCCACAAGGCCATCAGAAGGCAGGAAAAAGCTGGCCTGGAGAGAGAGGTCAGAGAAAGTATGAAGGTGCCTGGACATGGGGTCTTTAGGGAAAGCAAAGAAATGGTTTGTTTTTGTTGTTTGAGGCAGGAAGACGAGACATAGCCTGATGACAACGCGAGCCTTCTGGTGGTCTTGCCGGGCTTATCAGGAATAAGGGCGGAGTCAGGGGGCAAAGCATCCTGATGGTGGGTGTTCCTGATAGAGCACCATGGTCAGTCAATAAATACTGATGAGAATTAACTTTGGAAAGTTTCAGAGATGATGCAGAGGCTGAAAACCACTGCTACAACCAAAACAGAAATGGAAGCACGGTCAGACCCCGTCCAGGATGGGCCAGGGGCTGACTTCCCACAGCGGCTGACTGCACGGCCATTTGGGCACGAGAGGTTCCAGGTCCGCCACGCGACCCCTCAGCCTCAGTTCCCTCCAGTGTAAGAAGAGGTGAAGTTCCCTGTGTTCAGCTTGGTTCTGAAAACCACATAGGAGAGGGCACTTTCCCAGGTCCCAGGATCACTCCTGGGAGGGAGCTGGAGCCAGCTGCATGTCCTCAGCAGCAGTGAATGTGCACCATCAGGGGAAAGGGCTGAAGCACCCCCAGGCAGTCATGTTTCCTGGGGAGTCTACCTCCTGGGAAAGGGGCAACAAAGACCAACACTGAAAGAAGCTTTTCTACTTCAACTTCTGGACATCAGCATCTGACAGCCTGGGAAGTGTGCTGGCATCTGCCCCTTGTTGGGGCTCAATTAAAGATCTGTTGGCCAAGGGCAATGCCTTTGCCTAACAGTGTCCACCCCACTCACACCTTAGGCAGGGAAACAACTTCTAGAGTAAATTTCATCAAAGCCACTCAACAGTTAGCACGCTAACCGCCTCGGGAGGCTGTACACACTCGTCCAATGTGCTGAAAACCTAACCAGGCTACTTCCCACTCTGTTAACGCTGGAGCGACATGCACGTTCACGCTACGTCAATACTCACTATCTCAGATCTAGGCTAAATGCAAGTGTTTATAGTAAATCATAAATTCACATGATGCCCAACAAAAAAAATCAGTAGAGAAGCAGACATTTGGAAGGGGAGTGATCGCAGTGCCTGTCCTCGGCCGAGCTGACAGTGTTACACGCTGGAGGTTCTGGCCCCAGGAGCACCAGGACATTTCTGAGAGAAGGTGAGATGCAAAGTAGGATAGCATGTGCTGACTGTTTATGTTTAACTGGAGTCTTAAGTCTGGTTTTACTGTATTTGCCCTAAACCAGTGATCTCACTCTGGCTACACTTCTAACTCCTGTTCTCCATTCAAAATGCAGTGGCGACCTGGGGACCTGGTGAACCTGCTTGATGCCATCACTCTTCTAGCTCCTGGCCTACAGCGGTGGCCCCAGGAGCCCCCAGTGACATCTGCCGACGTCTTTGGTTGTCAAAGCATCGTCTGTTCCACACCCTCCAGGGGCCCCCACAGCAAAGACTTATCTGACTCACGATGCCGGGAGCACCCACGGGCCCTGGTTGAGAGTGAGACATTGGCATTGGTGAGTAGGGAGGGTCCCCAAGCCGCAAAGCTGTCCTTGCTGGCACCAGCTTTGCTCCTTGCAGGCCTGTGCTGCTCCAAGGGCTGGGGCGTGACCCCAGAGCCTGTGACTTGCCCAGGGACAGGTCCTGCCAGCCAGCCAGAAAGTGACCTGACTTTGACCACTGGAGTGTGGTCCCTCGGGTGGCCACGGGCTGTGATCTCTGATCCGCTGACCTGCTTGCCAGATCTGGGCAAAGGACCTTCCTCAGGCGGGCAGTGGGTGGGCGGCGGGCGGTGGACCGTCACTCTGGTGCCCTAGCTCGCTCTGCTTCTGGGAGGGCACTAAAGCAGGAGGCTCGGCTGCTGTCAGGAGCTCAAACCTGAGCGGTCAGGGTGTTAGCTTGCCTCTCTGACTGTTCTCAGGGATCCCATGCTCTTCCTGGGTCTTCTCTTTCAATTAGGACAACCACCTGCTGATTTTCACTGCTGTGGAGGGCGGAGCCAGCGGCGGGACTGAGCCAGTCCAGAGCAACCCTGTCAGCACCAGGAGAGCGTGCTTCCCCAGGGACCCCGCAGGGCAGCGCTGCTCTGTGTGACCCCATTTCCCAGTGGGCTCAGCGCCCGCCAAGGCGTCAGCAATCCTCCTGGGCAGGGGGTAAGGGGAAGGATGGTCTTACAGAAGCGTAGTGCCCACATACCTTCGATGGGAAGCGTAGTTGCCGGTAATGTGCCCAGAGCCGTCGCAGCCAGGGGTGGGGCACCTACAATTCAAAACACAAATAGGGCAATTTACTTGAAATAAATGAAATTCCATGAACAATTAACTGTCTTATTTCTCCTGAAAGCAAACTCTCTTCAATGCTTAAGCTCCCTGCATGAGGATGAGACGTAACCGCAGGCCCCCCGGCTGGCGGACGTGGGCTCACCCACCACCACAGATGCCGACCTGGGGCCGCCTCTTCCTCCCAACACGACACTCCCAGGAACTGCCTGGGATTCGATTCTCTGCAGCACCCGTGGCCCCTGGCTGCTGGCTGTGGCCTGTTCCCTCCAGTACCCGGGCTCCTACCCCACGTCTCCTGGAGTCGCTGCACAGGGCCCTGCAGGGCTGTTATTTCACCAGCACCCATACGAGGCAAGGTTCCCTGTGAACAGATGTGCAGTGGACTAAACTGTCACAGGCCCACGATGCTGGCTCTCCACACCCCTGCTGATTGGTTCACCCAAATTCCAGTGCGGCAGCAAGTGGACCTCGCTGTGGGCGTCAGGTCCGTCTTTCAGCCCCGCATAGGTTTGATTTACCTTAAAATCCTTGTTCCTTTTAACTGACTCGAGTGGAGCCTTCGCCTCTCTTGACCAGCCAGGCAAGTCGGCTGACACACTTCGCTCCTACACTCCCTCTGCTCAGCCCTTCCAGCCAACACCCTCCGGTTTCTTAACTACCACACGCACTGCTCTAAGGGGGACACCACCATTAAAGAGAGTTTACGGTTCCTCCCCTCCACAGAAAGACGCCCTCTCGAGGATGATCAGACGGTACTTCAAAGTCGTTTTCACCTCGAGTAACATTGTTCTCGCCAGAAATGTAAAAATTGAGGACAAAAATCACAAATTTTAAGTAGTCACCGGATGCAAACTGCTGCTAAGAGACTCCACTGTGCTTCCCACTCAGCGCGTCTCCCTGGATGCTGGTGTTGAGACCAGGCCAGCCAATGACTTGCTCACAGACGGATGTCCTCACAACTGGACGAGTGGTAGCGGAGTGGAGCTACGTGAGGCTGGGCTGCGTTCGGCTGTGTGAATGCCATATTTAGACACTTGGATGGATCAACAACTTTTGGTACTTAGAAACTGTCAAACTCTCCTTTAGCTCCAAGAAAGGGAACGTAAACCTAGGCCTCAGGGTACAGAAATGGGCAGTTGCCATATCGCATTAAAGGTCAAAGCTGAATCCATGGCTTGTGCCGTGAGAGTTAAAAAGTCGTGGGGTGACAGGGGAATGGAAGCGTCGTTGGTGCGCACGCCTGGAGTCAGGATTCTAAAACAGGAGCCTGAGCCACAACAATGCGAAGCTTAAGACAGAATCTAGGTATCAAAACAACTGGAAATCTGCTGACCTGATGCTAAGGTGATAGCTGTTCATGTCTGACCACAAGACTGTCCTGTCAATTGCTAAGTAATGATTTTCTAAATAATGACTTAAATGGCTGATTTTCCAAATGGCACCTCATGTGGACAGACAAGCCCAGAGCCCGCACGTGGGGAGGGCTATTGGCAGTAAGATCATCCTAACAGAAGCTTATCTTCATGCACGTTTCTGTCTTGAAAACGTATCAAGAAACAGGAATGTTTCCTACTGGCCAATGAAACACACTTGGCTTGGCTTTTTGCTTAAAAAAATCCTAAACTCCTTATTTAAGCACTTAGTGCAAATTTATTGAAAATTTATTCATTTTAACACGAGTATAAATTTTTTCATCTGCCTTTTTTGATGGGGGCAGGGGGAGGTTGACATAGCCTGTTCAAGTTTTAAGTGAGGTATTACAACCCAAACCACACAAGTGAAAGTTGGATTTTACTAGTTACAAAAGAGGAAAATTTTCAAAATAGCTTTTATGTGATCAAGCCATTTACAAATGCATCACGTGATTTGAAAAAGAGGCATTTACAATGTCCTCTATCACCATAAAAACAAAACGCTGATTTGGCTCATTTTCAGAGCTTTCATTCCTAGAAAGAGGCCTTGCTTTCTGAGAGGGTCTGGTTTTATCTCCAGGGTCCCAAGTCAGGCAGATGGCCTGCCCCTTGCTGGCTGGCGACTGCGGGAAATTGCTAAATGGGCTGTGACTCGCCCTCCTCACCTGGCCAATGCCAGTCTGTCCTAAGTGGGGAGGAGGGCACAGCATCAGGTCACCCAGGACCAGTGGGCCCCTCCCCTCTCCTCCGGGCACTGGCCACCTCCAGTGTTTCTGGAGAGAGCTCGCAAGCTCATCTCTGGGCAGTGCTTCTGGACCACACAAGGCAGCCACACGGTTTCCAGCCTTCTTTCCTCTACCAGCCCTGCCTGTTCACCTGTACGTTACAGTTCAAGACCGTAAGGCTTTTTAAACTCTTAGAATTACATGTGAATTTCCTAGCTAAGAAATCTCAACATTCAAAAACAGCTTTCTGCAGTCAGTGAACAAGTGATTACTTATCTAACCAAAGGGGTCTTTGCTTCTCCGATGGAGCCAACCCCGGGACCCCTGATAAAGGGGCCATGTAAAATCCAGCAGCAAAAATTGGATTTGCAGCTACCCAGCTAAGAGCACATCTCTTCCAGGAAGGGAGGCCTGTGTGGGGTGATCAGAATCCCCGTGGACAAGATCCAACAGCAGCATGCGCTGCAGGGCCGGGGCTGGAAGAGGTGGAGGGGAGTGACTAGGTTTCCATGGGAACTCCGACAGGGAGCCCAGGTTCTCGGCACCGAAGCCCTCAGGTGCCACAGGCGGGGCACCCCATTCAGCGCCCTCCTCGCTGCCAGGCTTTATCACGACAGCGGCCCAAGTCTATTTTAAGCCCCATGGTAAGGGTGCATTAAATAGAACACATGCTTTGTATTTTTTGTCTCTTCCACTCCAAAGGTTCTATCGGTAAAACCACCGAGAAAGCAAATGAACTATCTTAGCATCTATCCTTGCCTGCTCATGGATAAATTCAAGACAAAAACATGCGTGGCCCTGCACTTGCCCTGGGATTTAAATAAAACAGAAAGAAAAGAACGTTGGGTACCACAATTTATTACCTGGCTGGAAAAATTGGTCTTGTTTAGACATTTAAGAATGGCGATGGAAAAATTGTAATAAAAAAGTTATAAGTGTGTTTAAATTTTGCAGTATCAGGGCCAAATCTAAAAAAAAAATAATTATCAGGACCATTCACAAACTTGATTTCCTAAATCAGCCCTTCTCCATCAGGAACAAACAGGGGTCCTGCTCTATGGCAGATCTCGACATCAAAGAAACCTGAGCCTGAGCCTCTCAGAATGCTTCCTACTCACACCATTCTCTTAACTATTTGCCAATAAAACGCAAGTTCTACTTGGACCCCCATGGGATCATCACTGGTCACCCCTACACGGAAGTCGTAAGATACACTCCTCACTGTCAGAAAAGAACTTAACACTTATGTCTTGAGCTACAGTCATGAAAATCCTGTAATGTGGCACTGGCATACATCACAACAATGTGACGACAGGTGACTTGCTTCTCAAGTTTGCCTCTGATTTGTCCTTCAGCAAGACTTGTAACCTACGATTGTGTTGTTTTCTCCGTTTACAAACCACAACCTTGAAACGGTAGCAGCAACGAGAATGGTTCTATCTACCCACTGAAGTCGTATTATCGCTTATTATTCATGAGAGCATCCTATGGTGCCTCATTCATATTGTTTCAGCTCCTCTATATTTCAAAAATAAATGTGAGAATCTGAGAAATGGTTACATTGAAACATTTAGAATATGAACTTAAATGTAAAGTCTTACACATAGAGGCTGGGAGGACTGCCATCCTGTCTGGGCTGTGTCTGGGCTGCTCTGTGCAGCCCACCTACCCCACTGAACCAACCCTACAAGGCTGACCTGCAAACCTGCTCTGACTGAGCACAGTGGATAAAACAGAAACAGTCACTAAATATTTGGATGATAATATGTCAGGCTGATGTACTTCCAGTTCTGAAGAATCTCACGAGAGCTCCTTTAACAGTCTTTTTGTTCCTTTCTTTCAAGGCAACTCTAGCGAGAGAACTTAAGTAAAACACAAAATATGAAAAGATATTTTTTTCTTACTGCCCTCAAGTTTCAAAGAAATCGTAAAACTAAAATTCTGCCTTGTTTGTAGTAGCAAAATCTATTAGTGAACTGGAAAGATTCAGGCCACATAAATAGAAGACTTTGCCCCATTTATATAAAAAAATAAAAAGTTTAAAAAAATTTTTTTTACCTAAAGAGATACAACTCTAGAAATATACTTATTTTGATTTTCTTGTCACATAATAAGACAAAACATAAACACAGAGAAGTAAAAAATAAAAATATTTTTAAATGGGAAAATAACATACACTGAGTTTTAGGCTACATGTCTGCAACGTTCTCCCCAGAGAGAAACCAGGCCACTTAAAAGCAACATAATCGCTCCTGTCCAACTTCTTAACTATATTACCTGAGACTCAAGGAAAGAGGAAATCTTGGGAGATCGCGTTTCAATCTGTAAGACATTCAACGTTTCTCTTTTTTGAAACCCACTACTTAAGTCTGTGTATCCGGAGTTTCTCCCATTCTCCTCCTCCCTTGGGACTCAGGCGAGGAGGGGCTGCTCCGCGTGGGGCTCTGACAGTCCAGGGTTCTGAAGACCTGAGCATTTCAACACGTGGCGTCAACCCCTGGCTACTGGCAGAACTTGGGTGGAAAATGCTTTCTGATTATGTAACGTGCAGACAAAACCACCTTTCTCTTTTGGTTCTAAGTAATTCCTTTAAAAATTACACTAAAAAACCAACACATAAGTGAAAAAGAATTTTAAAAGTACCTCAACATCATTTTAAAAAAGTTATTTTGGTGATTCAGGTGACATTTGGAATAGGTTAGGCCTCAGGTTACTAAACGCGTGCAGATGAAACTCCAAGTTGTGGCTCTGGGGATGTGAGGGGGGCTGTGTGGTCAGGGCAGCAGGTGGCAACGGGCCTTCTGGTGGGCGGGGGCTTTCTCGGTCCGGCGTGCTGTGAG